TCTTCAGGGAGTGAGGTGGAGGAATTCTCACACTCTCCTTGTCCATGTCGCCCCGACAGACAATGCATGGCTAGCATTCTCTCCCAATTTTGTGCACTCTTGGCACAAGAATTGGACAATAAAAATGAACGATAGCACCTCTCATGGGCACTGGCGCCTGATATGGCCAAATTGCTACGCCCCTCTGGTGTCCAACATGTTTCTTGACTCGTCTACACCATGGCTCAGACTTTATCGGAATCGGTCGGGTCTTTTGGTTTGTTCCTGAGCTATTACAGCCATGCGTGTCTCTCCATCGCAATCCTGCCTGAAATGCCTGCAATCGGATGTGGGCCGATTCAGGGATTTGGCACAGATTCTTTATCCCAACTAGATCTTGCTTATCTGCAGCAAGTGTATTTGACGCAGAACAGCACAAAGTGTCCCTCTCATCTTCACTCTCCTCATACTCTTACCTTCATCCCATTCTCTCTCTCTTTTGCGCACACCCACACCCTTTCTCTTTCTCTCTCACTCACACATCCTCTCTCTCTCTCTCTCCTTAAGATTTAGTGGTCATAAATCGGCTTTGGTCCATTTCACAGATAAAACCGGCGATTAGGCCATGGTGTGGTTCGGGGCTCGGTTGCTAAGCGGAATAGACAAGACGGACTTACAAATGCTTCCATCTTGCTCATTCTGCTCGAGTTGTTTCGAGGCACAGACCTCGAACCCCGGCGGCCAGTGGCTATACCATACAGAGAGCAGACCCTCATGCCTATCGGGGATGCCCTGACGTCGGCGAGCTGGGCCATGCATGCCGAGGGGTCGTCACAATGCATGCTGGTTTATGCCATTCCGGACAGCAGCAGCATCCTCAATGCTCGGCCCTTTACTCCGCCCTGTCGCCGGAGGGCACCCAGATTGGGCTCTACCTTGAAATTCTAAAGTGGCTTTATCTCGCTTCTCCGTCTCGGTGCCTATTTCAATCGGCTCTTTTGCGTCGACGTAATCATCTTCTTTCTGACCCGCCTACTTCATCGTCCACATTTGCGCCCGGCCTTAACTCGCTAGACCTACCTCTTTATTTTCCGCTTCAGATACATTTATGACTCTCCACATTCAGATTTCTTGTGAAGGCCATCTGAACTGGAGCTGGTTCCTCCAGACTGTTTGTTCGGTTTATTGCCTTTTTGACTGTTTCTCTGCACATACATACACACACTTCCGTCTGTCCGCCTGTTCACCTTGCCCTCTGCCCATCTGTATGTCGGTTTACCTGTCTGTCAGTTTATCCACATGCTTTGTTGTATGTTTGTCCGCCTGGGTCTATCGCTTTCTCTTCGGATTTACTGCTTTATTGGACCCCAGTGATGGTTTCCTCTGAACGCCTTATCAGGCCTCGACTGACCTCTTTTTATGTAAGTTTATCCGATGAGCCTAATGCAATACCCGATTTTGAGGCCACTGCTAGCAACGTAAATCCATTAGTGAGTTCCTCTTTGATTGCCACCTCTCACCGAGTTACATAATTTCTCAAACTGGGGATTAAACTTTATCACCCTCCTAGCTTTGTACATAGTTGGGATTCTTTGAAGTTTTTAGTAGATTTTTCCTTGCCTTCCTTTGCATTTTGTGTCAACCGGCCCCATCGTTATCTTCAAATTAGTCTGCTATCTTATTTACTAAGCCTCCTCTGAGACCCATTCCTAAATGTCATTCAATTATGTCTAAACGTATTCAACCAAGAGACCTTTAGCTTTAGATATTCTCAATTCTTTCTCTTTTCCCCATAACACCATAATACTTAAGTGAGCATTTTTTACCTTCTAGTTTTTCGTTTTTCCTGTCGGGCTTAGTCCAGCAACTGATTATGCGAAGAGATTGTGTGTCCACATCTGAGTTGTTGGTCTGGCCCACATTTTTCTGCGATCCGCCATCGGTTTATTCGGCATGGCAGGGTTTGTTGGTAAGTTGTAAGACTTTGGCAGACAGATGGAGCTATAAATGAACCACTTGGAGTGGTGAAGATTTCATCGAATCTTGGTCTAGAAGTTGGCCTCTATTGCGATTCGCTTGACTATCGGTCTGCCTGGTCTATTCTGTATCCCCAGGTGAATTCGACAGGCATGAATCGAACCGTCTTCCCGATCATGTTGGTGATGTGAACTCAAGGAGGATCTCTCGTTGTGAGGATGCATCGTGTGCAAAGTAGGGCCGTAAATGGACTAGTCTGACTCTTCGAAAGCCACCTTTTATTCATATGTCAAAATAGATTCACGCAAGTCGGAAAACGGTGCGCTGAGGACGACTCCATTCACAGAAATGAGTTGTAAATGTACCCAAACAATCTTATCATGTAGAAAAACTGGTTTTCGAAGACTCCATCGTCAATCTTATCGTGGAACTTTGTTGTAGCGACATAGAAACCTTGCGTTCTGATTGTTTCCAGCATCAAACCATTCTCTTCTCATTGCCAGACGTTTCGCAAGCGTCTTCAGTGAGTGGCGCCATCCTTAAGGCAAAGTTTCACCATATCAAAGTGATAAATGATAAATTGTAGCTCTGTGCTACAATCCAATGCTGGAAATCATCATGAATGCGTTATAGCAGAGGTCACAGGACTGGTTATATTCCACAAGGTCTCACCGTTGCTCCGACCAAGTTCCCAAAGGGAGGCCAAACCAACACAATTCAGCTAAAGGAAACTTCGGCCAAGCCTAAGGCCACATCATCTTGATCTTCCCAGCTTGTCATGGGACATTGTGAAATTCTGCTTCCCAACTTCGTAAACTATGGAATATCTCCTTTTTGTTGAATGGTCGTTCTAAACTTTATTAAGGACACAAGCCTTGTTCATATCGCCTTGAAATTGGTCCATTAGAAGAGCGAATACTTCCGGAACCATTGGCCTCCAGACAATTCAGACAATAAGTAGATATTAGAAACCTCATAATTACAGCACTAGACTAGAAACATTCGTTATGGTTGGCCAACTCAAAAGCCATGCGGCATCATTTATCAGATATAACAGGAAGGTCTGTATAAAGTTACTTTACTGGCTCGATCGTTTAGGCAGTCGCCTATTTGTTTTATTTGATCGTAACCTACTCAGCTAGAGTGTAGTAGTCTGGTCATTTGTAATGGCAAATACCAAGTTGCCTATGCACACCAACAAACATGATGTATCCGGCCAACTCACATTTGACAAGTCATCGCTTGTGCAGATCCTCAAAAGTTATCTTTACATATCTGGACCTCCCTCCTTCAGGTGTTGACTGTAACAAATATCTGTTTCCTTGAGACCTTTCTATAGCGGATATCACTTTTATCTCATGTTTATCCAAAGTTATTTCTGTCTGCTGACGTTTTTTTCGCTCTGTGCTGCATGCTTTTGTTTAGCTTCACTGGTGATGAACAGCCCAGATTATCACTAATTGTCCCTTTACGTCAGCTTCAGTTGCCAACCGTAAATTGAAAATTAGCCCTATAGTGGAAGAAATCGATTAAACTGTCTTTACTTT